GACACCACCAAAGGGTGTCAGCAAGGGCTATTGACACCTCCAAATAGTATGTAGACTGTGCGAGAAGTGTATTTCATATAATGACATGAATGCACTTTAGATATAGGTGAACTTCGGTGAAATTCATAGGATGAAACTTTAACAACCCCTATGCTACGTTGGATAAATATTCATGTAGACTGGCGACTGGCTGCTTCGTGGCCGAAAAAATCTTCTTTATCAAATGAGTTCTTTTAGCGTTTCAGCATGAATTTTAAAGTTTCATACAATGAATTTCACCGAAGTTCACCTATATCTGAAGTGCATTCATGTCATTATATGAGATACACTTGTAGGTGGCCTGTAGGTGGCTAGCTTTATTTCATGCACAGGAGGTTGGAGGTGTCGACAGCTCTTGGTGACACCCTTCGGTGGTGTCAATAGTCCTTGGTGACACCTCTTAGTGGTGTCAATAGCTCTTGCTGACACCTCTGGTGGTATCAATAGCCCTTGTTGACACCTCGTGGTGGTATCAATAGACTCACCCAATAATTATTCGTGCTACAGTCACCCGATATACGCAAGAATAACGTCGCTACCTCGGGTTGGAGGGTCAAAAACTGTAAATGAAGTCAGCAAATGTACAAATTTTCTAAAGCGCTGAAGCTCAAAACCAAATGCACCATTTTGTAGAGAATTAAATTTTCTACGTAACCATATGTTTAGAAATTTATTTTTCGAAAACTTTCTGGGCTAAAAATAGAAAATCCGATTTCTGAAATGTTCAAAAACCAATTTTTATCAAAAAAGCGTTTTAAACGGGTTCTTAGAATTAAAAATTACATCTAGTGATGTATTCAAGATTTTCGAAAGCGAAAATATTTTTTTTATAAACTTGATCAGCGAAGTGTCGCGTTACGTGGACAAGCCGTATACAGTATTACCTTGTAGTTCTCATATGTCGTTTACATCATGCACAGGGTATTACCTTCCAGTCCTCACGTCGTCAACAATAAAATACATAGTGTATTAGCTATCAGTTCTCTGATGATGAGTGATAAAATACACAGGAGATTACGTTCCATTCGTCGGCACCCTTGGGTACTGGGAGTATGACATTCCTCAGAGGGGGCGCTGCAGTGCGGGAGTGAGTGGCGATTAGACTAATTCTGCAGTTTCCATGGAATTGTGAAAGTTGTCGCCACTTCACACTTAATGGATGAACCCTGTATGTTCAAAACTACATCATGAGTGCAAAATGTGGTGAAAAGAGCGAGAAATGACATATTTCTCCTTTATTGGAAAAAAGCTAGTAAAAAATATAGTATTTGAAATTCATTTCCTAGCGAGGCTTAAAACTCCATTCTATACTTTCACAGTACTTATTAGGAAATCTACAGAATCATTGGCAAATCTATAGAATCGCGAATTTTAATTCGCTAAGTCTGTACTTTCTACAAATAATATTTTTAGCTAATAATATAAATATAAATATATTATTTAAGAGATAAATAAAAGCGTTTTTATTAATTGCATAATATATAAAATAGTGAAGAAATGGTTGAAGCATATAATGCAGTATATTATCTAGTAGATAACGACTGTCAGAATATTTGGATATTCAAGAAGTAATTTTAGCAATATATATTGCTATGATTGATGTAATTATATTAAATCCATGGAATGATGGTAAAATGCAAAAAATTTAATAAATTCTTCGTCTTATCAAAAAGACTATAACGAACGTCAGCATCTACTAATTGATTATACGTTTTAATAATATAGTGATGAAACGTTTCAATAATATTCTTATGAAATGTTTGTAATAACAAACCGCTTAATGAATAATCGGCGAATAATTTTGTTACGACAAAATCAACACACACAGTTGATCTTTCGGCCCAGTATTCAGTGGCTAATCTCTTAGAATATTCTTCGTCATTTAGTGTTAATCCTTGAATTAAATCATCAACAGGCTGAATAGATGCTATAAGTAAATTCGGAAATACAGAGAAAAATAACCAGTTATCATTTTTATTTAATGGCCTCACTAATGTTGTTGATTTGTCAATTTTTTTGTATATTTCTAACCATATTTTAATTGTCAGCATCTTTTTTGATCCTAATTTGTTGAGAAAATCGTGATTGATAAAATGTTCTCGAATAAAGTTATATATTTGTTTTATCAATCACGATTTTCTCAACAAATTAGGATCAAAAAAGATGCTGACAATTAAAATATGGTTAGAAATATACAAAAA